GGTAGGCCACGTGTTTCTGAAGACGCCGCGGAACAGATTAGGGAGAGCTTCGCTCGAAGTCCGAGCAAGTCAACGAGACGTGCATCTCCTGGGAAAGTGGGATTCCACATGTGACTGTGTGGCGAGTGTTACGAAGACGTTTACACTTAAGAGCGTCCATGGTGCAAGCCATTTCAGATGGTGATAAATTGGCTCGTAAGGAATTTTGTACGGAAATGTTACGGCGGGTTGAAGACGACGAAGGATTTCTGGACTCAGTACTTTTCAGTGACGAAAGCACGTTCCATGTCACTGGTAAGGTCAACACCCACAACTGCAGGATTTGGGGTAGTGAAAATCCACGTGCCTTCCTGGAACATGTTCGTGACGGTCCAAAAGCTAATGTGTTTTGCGCCCTCAGGAAAAATAAAGTGTACGGTCCCTTCTTTTTCACGGAGACCATTACCGGCATTGTGTATCTGGACATGCTCCAACAGTTCCTCATTCCTCAACTTCACGAAGACGACCAGGAAGGACGCATTCACTTTCAGCAAGACGGTGCACCCCCTCATTACCTCGGAGAAGGGCGCGAGTACCTCAACAACCGTTTCCCAGGTCGGTGGATTGGTCGGGCCCCACCAATAGCATGGCCACCTCGTTTCCCGGATCTAACACCTTTAGATTTTTCTTGTGGGGATTTGTTAAAGATCGAATGTACGTGCCACCCTTACCTGCAAATGTGGCCGAACTCCGAACTCGAATTACCGCCGCAGTTGCTGAAGAGACACAGGAGATGCTACACCGCGCGTGGCAAGATATTGACTACAGATGGGACTTTTGCCGCATAACAAATGGAAGTCACATTGAACCATAAAAATCCGATGGACATAAAACTTGAAGGGTTTGACTACATTTCTGTATTCTGAAATTATATGTTTCCCCTATCAGTTCACCAATATCTCGCCCTCAAGTTGTAAAGCTACTTTTGAAACACGCTGTATTATATCTATACACTGGTGCCAGATATAATGTAAGTGTCGACAGTTTGTCATCTTATGGGAATTCGGTTGCAAAGAAGTCGAAGACTGTTCAAAACAGGAGCCTGTCCACGTAGAACATTTCAGTAAAATTTCTGTCCAAATGGTTCACACGGAAGTGGTGTCATTCAGAAATTGTTGAATCGACAGTTAAATGCTGTATCGAAACGTCTGCGTGTTTTGTTAATCTTGCTAGTTTCAGAAATATGACACGACCCACAGGGCTAACCAGGCTTTTATTTTGTTAATGAGGCGCTGTTTGCTTATACGTGGTTCTGGGACAGAAACTATATGTTAGACCCTGCTGCCTAAATGTGCAAGTCGCCATTTATTATAGTAAACTCCACCTCACGAACCTTCAAGACTTGTGGCACACTCGCTCTATCTCAGCGAATCGCGGGCCACTGAGTTATTTTCAGAGCATTTCATGTTAATTTATTTGGCATATTTCTCAGTTACTTTCTTCAATTGAATAAAATTTTTCTTGGATATTATCCATCGTCTAGTAAATATAAAACCTAGCCTAGTTTGGATTTATCTCCTATTTGGATACCTGTAATCTCTGAAGAAATCCAAGTTGGGCATCGAGTTTCGAGCTGATATTCATGTGTATTTATTCCCACCTTTTGTGAGTTTTTGTTTTTTTGGCTTTATCGTGTTTATGAATTTTGATTTCTACATACTATTCTTTTACGTCCCACGGATGGATGGTGTGGTGATGTATTTTTATTCCGGGACTTTCACTTTTTTACTTTGTCCGGAGATAGGGATTAGCTCTATCTAGTGGGCCCAACTGTGTAGGAACCTGAAGACGGAGATAGAGTCCCATCTCCGAAACGTCGTTTTACGTTTTATATTTACTAGACGATGGATAATATCCAAGAAAATTTTTATTCAATTGACTCTTCACCATCGTCAAGAAGTTTTAGATTTGATATACTTTCTTCAACATATTCGTTTAATTTGTTATTCTTATTAATTGTGTACTAAAAATTACAATTTTATTTAACTTCGGCGGTAAATATCTTTTAATCACGCAGTCATACTACACAGCAGTTTGAGAACCCCTGGACTGTTGATATTTCCCGTTGAGTTAACGGGTCGGTCCCTAGTAAACGTATAATTCTGTCATGCCACAGAATGAAAATATTGTGTTCTAGTGGATACTAAACACGATTTAACTCGATGCTTTTAATGGGAAAAATTCTGCGATGTAGTTGTTCAGGTTCCCGCAACACCACAGCATTGTGATCAGTTGTCCTCAGGTATTCTGACGTCTGTATCATGTGTTTGGATTATCATTAGTTTGAATGCGGACCGGCATGGTCTGTGGGACCCGTATTTGAAAACCGTGATCTGTTATGATATCACGACTCTGTTTATCGTTATGGTTATTTAGAAATACTCCAGTCAGAATGTTCAGAGCATGTCTTGTAGAGAACGGTAGTCAAGTCGTATAATAAAGGGTTTTTTTTTCAAATTGTGTTTTATTATTAATATTATTTATTTACTGCAATTGGGTTTGCACCCAGTGGCAGTGGTCCTTACACTACACAATTACAACAAAATACATATAATATAAACAAGTACACTCCATAGAACACCTCACACACATAACTAGACATCCACCCCTACAAAAACATTCCACCTTACACGGACACACAATACAAAAACAAATACACATTTCAAAAACACGCATCCATTAATTAATCACAATACTTTAGAGTAGAATATAAAGTCAGACCTCAGTACATGAAACTTTTATCCCAAAGAAACTACAGCCCTTCATCACTTGGAGACTAAGACACTTCACTTCCCTTATCACCATCTAATCCGCACTTAATAACCCTTTGCTTCTGGCCCTCTTTCTAAAGGTGCCTAATTTACAGGGGAAAGACTCTAGCACGCCTGGAGGTAAATGGCTCCAGCTTCTTATGGTCCTATTTACAAAGGAATATTTGCCAACATCCGTTCTTTGTTTCCTAGTCTTAATTTTCCGACTATGATCGTCCCTGCCCAGGTAGCATGGCTTTCACTAAAATTTCTCCTTTCTTTTTCTTTGTTCCGGTCTATTTTAATTTTTTTAAAAAGTACGCAGAATATCGGTGAGATTTTTAGGAGGCGGGATTGAACGATATTGGTCTAAGAATTTGGAGAAACACGTGAATTGAACGAAGACTTGGTTCAGTAAATATTGGTAATTGCCCTAGGGGCTTCAACGCTGCCAAGGACAACGAAAAAGGATTTTCAAGCAAGTAGAAACTTCAAATTATTTGCGAAATAAATAAAATGATATCCTGTGCCCTCAGTGTATAAGGGAGGAAAAGGTTAAGAAATGAAGCAAATTTGAAATTGAAGATTTCTGTCTTCTGGGTTGTTGCGCTGTGTAGTCTGGTCGATGTTTACCAACGTTTCGGAGGTCATACTGCCTCCGTCATCAGGGCGATGAAGATTTCTGTCTTCTGGGTTGTTGCGCTGTGTAGTCTGGTGGATGTCAACCAACGTTTCAGAGGTCATACTGCCTCCGTCATCAGGGCGATGAAGATTTCTGTCGTCTGGGTTGTTGCGCTGTGTAGTCTGGTGGATGTCCACCAACGTTTCAGAGGTCATACTGCCTCCATCATCAGGGCCCTGATGATGGAGGCAGTATGACCTCCGAAACGTTGGCAAACATCGACCAGACTACACAGCGCAACAACCCAGAAGACAGAAAGCTTCATACTCACCGCTGTGAGAACCTCAAGTCTTACAAATTTGAAATTGTAAATAATTCTTGAGCTGTAGTTTATTTTGAAACTCGTGACAAAGCCATTGGTCTGCATTGGCCACAACCTGCTGATAAGCCGATCGTGTAGAACGTGGCGCTTTGAACGACGCGAGAGTCACTGGAATTCCAGCTGGCGAGTTACGTAACAGCAAGCAGGCAGGATGATGACGTACACCGGACGCGTAATTCTGTTTTCTTGAAGTCATTTTACATCAGGCAATTTCTTCGCAATGATTCACTGAGGGTTGTGAGGTCGTTGGAGTTGGGTAACGTGATGTGGCATTTAGGTTGTAATTTCTGTGGTGCTGTGCAAAGCGTTCTGTATTGTGTGTGCGGTCGGCTTGTTTCCGGGAAGTAAGGATTGTTAAGGCGATCTGGCGGTGTTTGAGGACCGTCAGCGTTCAGCGAGGGCTCCAGAATTAAAACGCAATTGCCTTCTGTTAGCGTCGCGTGTTCTTCATTGCTTCATGAAGAATTTGTCATCGATATGGGACTGTTTCATGCAGTGGACGTTGCAAGAGACCAAGTGAGTGTCTACATTGGGTGGATATCAGAGGCGTATCGTTTTATTTGTGTTGCGTCTTAGGATAATGTGTGTAGGTCCGAAACTTTTGCTGTACAAATGTTTGTCATGCATTTCTTTAAATATTATCGTCTTAAGTCACGCTTGCAGAAGGAAGTAATAGAACGCCACAGTTCTTTGTATTCATGGCTTTTACGTAAATGCATTAATTAATACTGCAGTCAGTTTGAGGCTTCTGAGGTATGAGTTGCGACACAACAGCTGAGAAAGGAAATTTTTCTACTCGTTAATAAGAACTATATGAAGTGAAAATGGATTGCAGGCTAGCCTTCCACTGTTAGCGAACCATGCATTGTGACTGCAGAACGTTAAGTCTTTCTATGATGCTTTAAAGAAGACGTAATTTCGATGTAGTGAGAGATACAAATTGGTCTAATTATTGCTAGTGTACAGTTTCTGATATTGAAGTATGCCAATTTACTTTGCACATTGTTAGTGAGAGCAGTTAACTGTAGTTCTCCTGTAGCAACATAGGATTTTAATAGCGGACGTTTGTAGCCCAACTAACCAGATTGCTTAAGGAACCCGAATGTTCATCACCGAACTAACCAAAGCCCTCCACCGGACCCTGTCCTGGGCCGACAAAATCCAGTTTCCTTCGACTCCTATCTCCCATAGATCCCACCTGAGATTATCCTCCCATCTACGTCTAGGTCTCCCCAGCGGTCTCTTCCCCTCCGGCTTCCCAACCAATACCCGGTGCACACCTCTTGTCCCATCCATGCGCGCTACATGCCCAGCCCATCTCATTCTTCTCGACTTAATCACCCTGACAATACTGGGGGAGCAGTACAGATTTTTAAGCTCGTCATTGTGCAGTTTTCTCCACGCCCCATCGTCTTCCCTCTTAGGCCCAAATATCCTCCTCAACACCCGATTCTCAAACACCTGCAATCTGTGTTCCTCCCTCTGAGTGAGAGACCATGTTTCGCACCCATACAAAACAACAGGCAAAATTATTTTGTATATTTTAATCTTTAGGTTTTCAGAAATCAGACGGAAAGACAAAATACTTTGAACTGAGAAGTAGCAAGCGTTTCCGGAATTTAGTCTCCTCCTAATTTCCTCGTGAATGTCATTTTGATTTGTTATTGATGTTCCAAAGTATTTGAACTTTGTCATTTGTAGCCTGTAACTGCGAAAAGTTTCGATCGTTCATTTTTTTAATTGCTTGATTTGGGTGGATTTGAAACGTGGTCACTCGCACGAGAGGAAGAACGCAGATTGAGGGTGTTCGAGGAAGTGTTAGGACGCAAGAGGTAGGAGGCTACATGAAGCTGATAAATAAGGAGCATCATAATTTGTACGCCTCAGCGAATAGAGTCAGGGAGGACGAGATGGGACACCAGAAGCGAATAGACTAGGTGGGAGACCTAGATGTAGGCAACAGGATAATAAAAAATGGATATTTAAGTAGTAGGGTGAGAGGGTGATGACTGAATTTATCTACCTCAGGGTATGATCTTGTTTTCTTTAAAGTAACTTGGGATTTATTCGTTAATCTGCTCGTTTTTTTAGTAAATTTATTTCATTGAATAATCGGCGAAGAAACTCATTACGTCAGCTTACCTTAAATTTGGGGTTAAATATAGTCGAAAACTATGTGTATTCTGCGTTTGGCCTGTCTTCCGGTTCCTATTTGTTCCATTTTAATGCCCAGTCTTTAACCAAAAGCACTTGTTTTAGATATGGCGTCTCCGTCCGTTCGACTTACATATCCTGAACAGTGGTTTCTGTCAGATGAGTGTTCTGTGTTCGTAACCCGGGTGTTTATTTGAAGTCGCTTGTTATGTAGCTTAGATAGACGAGTGGTAAAGGCTGGTCTTCTGGGCTGTAGCGCCGTGTTATGTGGTAGAATTCTGGGATGAGTGCGCTGATGATGGAGTCGGCAAGGACCTCAGAAACGTCGGTACACTTCTACCAGACTACATGGTGTAAAAGCCAGAAGACAGCCATCATAATTCTCGCCGCTTTGAGAACGTCACATGTTACTAGGCTCAATTTATATTTCGATATCATTCGAAACAACACGACACCTACGTTTTCAAACCAGAAGTATCTTCAGAATTAAAATTGTTTCTCTTACTTGTGCGAACTTTGGTCGAGAAGGATGAGGGACTACGGGCTATGTTGTGGTACTAAATCGGGATTTTACTCAGGAACATCATGAATGCCAGTTAGACTGTTACTAGTCCGTTTATCAGTTTGTTGTTTGTTATTAATTAGTAAACCAGTAAAAATTTCCTGTGTCATACAGGTTGTAAATTATTAATCATTCATTTACCAGCTGTATTTCAGCCGAGAAGAGTGGGTACGTTGTAGAAATTCTGGAACAGGGTTTCGCATTTAGAGTTCGATTCTCAACCCGGAGGACGTTTGTCTTGATTTGGGGTCTTCCTGAGTCCTTTTACAGCAGGCCATGACCCTTGTCTTCCACGCCATTCACAAGTCTAGCCACACATCGCGGCAATTGAGATAGCGTTAAGAAATTCCTTTCGAATTCCCCTGACCCGTTCTGCGTTTTTTGTTAATTAATTAATTGGAATTGGTCCCAAAGTAGATTTTGTTAACCCTTTAAGCTACCAACAGTCAGGACATCGGGAAGGTTGTAGAACGTGCATAATTGTGTTTATAACTATCTGGACTCTTCTGCGCGTCTAAAATGTCCCAGTGTCAGCTTTCGTTGTCCAGTTTTAGAATAAAACCGTCCGAACGATGAAGATTGCATTCGTTCGTCCCACACGCCGCCCAGATGTTAACAGTGTCGTTATTCTGTTTTCGGAGTGTGTGTGAGGCAGGGTAATTGGTGGAGAAAGTGGGTCAGGACGTCATTATTATCGCAATTTCTTGGGAATGTTTGACGTGGGAAATTCGGAATGGGAATGAGCGAGCGAGGGAGATGCTTGTAGTCAGTAAGGAACAGTCACCGGTTCTCTAACTGTCGAGAGATGAGGGGCAGAGCGGCTAGCAAGAGGGGACGGGTGAGTTCTAATTCAGTTTCCTTTAGGTCCTTAGTGAGCGTAGCTGACGTCAGGACATCATCTTCCTACTAACGTCGTCCTGCCCTTGGGTATTTGTAATATTCTACCATTCTGTGGACGTTCCTCGTAGGCCTATATAGTTTCTCTTGCTACCTCGAGTTTCTCTAAAATTTCTTTATTGCTTTTGTGGTCGAGAACGGTGTATCCTGCTGTTTTTAGTAAAACGTTATCTCCAAAGCTCGTAGTATTTTTTCTCTCACTGGCCGAATGTCGCTGTCATGAAAGGTCGGAACAGAATTGTTTTGGAGGATTTGAGGTTTTACGGCAGTGAGTTTGAAGATGGCTGTCGTCTTGGTTGTAGCGCTGTGTAGTCTGGTAGAAGTTTACTGACGTTTCAGAGATCCTTACGATGATGGAGGCAGCAAGGTTGGTAAACTACCAGACCCAGACGACAGCCATCTTCGGACTCACCTCCGTGGCAACCTCAAATCCTGCTCACTGAATGTTTTGTATAATTTTAGTCTTGATGTTCTTCGGAATATATTTATTTTAGATTGTTTAAAGTTCCGAGTGTTTTGAAGTGTTGTGATTTTGGAATCTATGCTTTGCCCTTCTTGATACCTTGAATGTGTTCCCTCCAGTGTTGCGTTGTATGTTTTAGGTGCGTGTCTTACTGCTTCTGATTTCACAAAGACCATTATTTTGATTTTATGGGTTGAAATTTATATTCCAAATTTTTGTACTGTTTAGTGTGAAGCGTCTATGTAACACTTCCTTCTGCAACGCAGTCAGATTTACGCCTTTTCTTATGATATTCTAATCCTTTTAGTATATTTCCCACCCCAGTGTTAAATAATTTCATGCAGTGTTGATGAGAGAGAGAGAGCAGTCTTGTCTTAGTCTTCTCTTTCATTTTACGAGTTCACGATTGCAGCAAATATAAGAACTTGGCGGTTTCCAGTTGTAAGACTAAATTCTAGGGGACGATAAATTGTGAAATTCCATCCAAATTGGATTCTACTTTATAGCCTCGGCTTCCAGAAAATTATCTGGATGGCACTTCACAAAACTGTTTCACGTGTTATTTATTGGAGAGCTTTTGGGCTAGGTTTTCAGTTGCTGAAGGTCAGAAAATCCAAGCGATCCGCCGAAATTGCCTCGTATTTACAACTTTTTTCGAGAAAAATTTTGTTTTTCCTCGCATCGTTCGTAGTAAGCCGAGCTAACAGGAACTACTGATCAATTTCGGCTACTGATTTATCCCGACTGCTTTAAATTTGACATGTTTTTACCTCAGTGTTCCTCGCCGGCACAATCAGTGTCTTAACAGCCTGATTTCTGGAAGAAGTAAACTTGTGTGTACTTCATTTCAGATTTTAAAGTTTTTGGCCGATTTTCACATTTGGTATGAACATCGTGTCATTGTCCATTCTCGCGTATTTTAATTTTCGAAAGTTTGGAATAGCAACGTGACGGACGCACGAACTGGTGAGGTGGGTGGCGACACCAAGCCCTCGAATTACGAAGTGTAGATTTTGTATTGTCGGCATTTGACAGTATCTGAAAAGTAATACACGAATAAAATATATGTAACATGAAATATTCGTCTCGTTGAAGGTTGCAGTTTGTGCCATGTTTTTTCAAGTGTGTTGAATATTCGTTTAAATATGTCTAAGAATGGAAGTTTGCCCTCTTGTAACGTAGTGGTAGTCCACGAAGTATAGGTCAGGCGGAAATAAGATTTGTTCGAGAAATTTTAGAGAAATTCCGTGGTCCAAATTTAATCAAAACCAGTCGTTTATAGTTTCTTCAGAACATGTATTAAAAACTTTGTTGCGATACGTCCATAATAATTCAAGTTAAATTAAAATACGGAAATTTTTGAAACACGATAAAGTGTGAACCGTTTCAGCCTGGAGTTACTGAAATATGCTTCCCGCCGACTGCAACAAGTGTGGACTAAGTTTGGGGCGCAAAGTGTGCCTTCAAATGCCGACGGGAGTGCCAATGGTTATACGCGATGATAGAAATATTCTTCATTCGCACTTCGAACGTGTTCTGTTTTTGCTAGGTGCTGCAAAAGATTGTCTAATGTTTTTTTCCCCAAGCGGTATAACACGCGCATGCGCGTCGTACAGTTTTCATCGCATTATGGACACGCATGTAGTAAGTTTCGAACTCTTTGTCATTCATTCGTAGAAAATGAGGAAGAATGTTTTTCAGCATTCAGCCAGAACTGTTTTGGAAGTCCGTAGGCCTACCTCTTATTTTACAAAATTATCCTTTGCGTTAAAAAAACTTTTTAAAAAAATTCTGTAACAATTATGGCCATGTTTAATCCTGGCAGAGGAATTGTCTGTGTGATGGACTCGATGTCAAGCAGCGCAGTGCGATGGCGCACAGTGGAGCGACAGGGACGTGTTATCTGTTGGCTTTATCTCATTGCGGCCGAGTCGCTTCCTGGATCACTTCGGCTCTCTCATCAACTCTTTCATTCTGCTGTCCGCAGTCGAGAAGTCTTTGTCCGTACGCCCTTTTAATGTGCATTATGCTTTGCGTGTTGTTCTGATACGTAACCGAAATGGTTATCACGAAGGTGTTTTTAAAGCAGAAACGCCCACAGCTGAAAAGATGGGGCGTAGCAGCGGTTACTGCGAGCAAGACGTTTGTCCGAGCCACAACTGGACCCCGAGCTGGCAGACGCTTTTGTCGGAGTCTTCGTCGGCGGTCCTCCGCGGATGAAGGAGGATTTTGTAAGGTAATTGCAGCGTCTGGAATAAATATCTGCTGGAAGTGCATCTCATCTACAGACACGGAACAAGACGAACGTGGAATACGTGCTAATTTGTTACTGTCGTCAACATATCGAAAATGTTTCGAATACAAATTGAATAACAGCGTGTTTTGTCATGTGGCATTGCTTCTTAAGAATCTCACGCAAGTTGGAGGTGAGTGGTCATCTTCACGCCCCCCCCCCCCCCAGTTT